GGGCTTGTTTTTTTCAACATCTTCATCAGCAACCGGGAAGACGGCATAGTGCACCCTCTGCAAGTTTGCAGATGATACCAAGCTGCGGGGAGTGGTATATATGCTGGAGGATAGGGCTAAGATTCTGAATGACCTAAAGAAATTGGAGGATTGGGCCAAAAGGAATCATATGAGTTTCACCAAGGACAAGTGCAAAGTCCTGCACTTAGGATGGAACAATCCCATGCACTAGTACAGGCTGGGGGCTGATTGGCTGGGCAGAAGCCCTGCAAAAAAGGACCTGGGGGTTACAGTGTACAATAAGCTGAATATGAGTCAGCAGTGTGTCCTTGTTGCCAAGAAAGCTAATGGCATACTGGGCTGCATTGGTAGTTGTGTTGCCAGTAGATCCAGCGAAGTGGTTATTCTCTTCTATTCAGCACTGGTGAGGCCACATCTGGAGTACTGTGTTCAGTTTTGGGCCCTCTGCTACAGAAAGGACATGGACAAATTGGACAGTGGAGGGCAACCAAAATGGTTCGGGGGCTGGGGCACATGACTTATGAGGAGAGGCTGAGGGAACTGGGCTTATTTAGTCTCAAGAAGAGGAGACTGAGGGGGGATTGAATAACAGCCTTCGACTACCTGAAGATGGGTTCAAAAGAGGAGGGAGCTAAGCTGTTCTTGGTGATGTCATATGACAGAACAAGGAGCAATCATCTCAAGTTGCAGCAAGGGAAGTTTAGGTTAGATATTAGGAAGAATTTTCTCGCTAGGAGGGTAGTAAAACACTGGAACAGATTACCCAGAAAGGTGGTAGAATCTCCATCCTTGGAGGCTTTCAAGACCCATCTAGACAAAACTTTGTCTGGGATGATCTACTTGAGGGTGGTTCTGGTTTGAGCAGGGGGTTGGACTAGATGACCTCCTGAGGTTCCATCCAACCATAATTTTCTGTGATTTCTATGATCTCCAAGATACAAACTCCCACCCTTTCCAAGCCAGGAGTCAAAAGAGAAGCTCCAGGATGGGCCAGGGCCAGGGCCAGTAGAGCTAAAGGTCCTGGGGGGACCACACCCGTAAGGGGGAAGCAGCTCAGGGAGCTATGCAGCCTGGAATGAAGGCGTAAAGGGCCACCTGAATGGAAGGATCCAGGTGGGGTTCAAAGAGCAGAATTCTGGGGCCCAGTGTGGGGCCTGGAATGTGGATAACAGCTGGACGCCATCTGCAAGGCTTGGGCTGCAGTGTAGGGGAGCAACGGAGCTGCAGATAGCACCCCCTGGCACCAGGGCAAGAAATGGGCAGCCTCCTGCTTATTTAACATCAATTCATTAATTAACAACAAGGCATGGTGGACGAGAAGGCGGGCGGTTAGCCCAGAAACAGGTGGGCGGGCCACAGGAAAAATCGGCCCCGAGAAGGCCCCCTGTTACAGCAGAGAGGAAAGTTCTGTCAGTAGAACCAGTATGGACTAGCCTCAAGAGGGAGAAGAGAGACACCCCAGCAGCAGGCCAGCAGGGTACCAGGGCACACAAGAAATGGATCCAAAGATCTGGGGATCTCAGCAGTGGTAAGCTGAGTGGTCTTGTTTTTCTTTGTTACCTTTTTGGCCCAGGGGGGATGAAACTTTGTTTGGGACTTTGTTGATGTCCCAGATTGGAAGGACAGTTCGTTAAAATATCTGTTGATAACCTGTAGAATGGGAATGGCTAGAAGGGGAGATGTGGAGGCCTCAGAGTAGTCTTCAGTAATTGACCATAAGAGGGTTGGGAGTACTTGCTTTGAGGCCTGGGATCTGCTAAGACAGAAGAGGCTGGGAGAGCACACAGGCCTACATAGGGTTTAATCCATTGGCCAGCAGAGCTAAGGGCTCTGGGTTTGAGACCCAGAACAAACAGGACTAGGACTGTTGGCCAGGGCAAAGAGAGACCCTGGACTCCGCCATTTAATATCAATGATGTAGATAAGGACAAGGCAATGACACCTGACTTTAAATCCATAGCATCCCATTCTCTAGGATAAGGCTACCTCTCTAACTTATTTTACAGCATGGTATGTCAGGTGAGAAAAAGAAGGAGGGGTGTGGGGCCAGTGGTGGACTGAACCCCTGGGATCACCCACTAGTGGCACCCTGTAACAGTCCCCATGAGCATACAGTGCAGGAAATCAAGAAAGAGTACCATCTCTTCCATCTTTGGCTAGCAGTCTTCATTGTACATACCTTTTGAAAGAGGCAGAATCCTGTGACGTGCCAGTGTGCTGTCCTGAAATGCAAAACTCTAGAACCCTTGGTTCAGAGATGATACCTTTTATTAGATCAACTAAGAAATCACAAAAAAAAAAGTCTTTTTCTTTAAGCTGCAAATTATAGATAGTAAAAAGTCTCCATAGGTAGAAAATAAACTTCATTTTTGCAGAGGAAGCTGAAGGTGGAAGTCTGTTCCTCACTGTTCTATCCTTGCACTTCTAAGCTGATGCTTCAAATAGAAGAAAGCATTCAAAGTTAGAAAATGAGTTAAATTGCACTGATGAACACGGCATATGGCTTAATGGAATGATGAGGTAGAGCTGTAAAATGCTCAGTGTACACAGAGCAAAATTTAGAATTAATTTAGACTGAAAAAACTGGGGCATAGGGGGTGCATATATGAGAAACTTTACTGCACATTAAACTATGTGCAGTAAAGACAGTGATGTTTAAAGCATCACTGGGGTTTTGTGTGCTCTCCTGGGTGGAATGGAAGCCAAAATGCAAAATGCAGATCTGTATAAATGCAAATGCATGGCAGTGAGTAACAGAGGGAATGGGAGACAATAGGTGTGAGACAGGTAGGTGTGGAGGGAAAGCTGGGAATGTTGACCTGATGATAGAATGTAGCTGGTAAAATGTAGACAGGTTACCCAGGGTTATCAGATGGCAGGCAGGTTATAATGTGCTGCAAATCATAGAAAATCATAGAATTGTAGAAAGGTAGGTTGGTATGATCAGCTAAATGTCTTTATTTAGTAGATTCATGAAGTGAAGTTCATAGGCTCATCTATGAAAGGTGTCTTGTAAATTCCCTTTGAGGATTAGAACTGAGAGATTGGAGAGAGAGTGGTTGTCGTGTGAGAAGTGTGCACCCAAAGGTAACTGGATATTTTTGTCTTTCATAATTTTTCAGTATTCTGTGAAGTACTTCTGGTCCACTTCCGGGTTCGCCAGGGGCCCCCATGCTCCTGTGGGACATTCCATCTGCCACACTATCTCAGCATTCACGAGCTGCGCCTGGTACCTCCAGGTATGTAGAAAAAGCATTTAAAGCTGGGTCTATGGCCGAATCACTTATTCTCTGAATCAGCATCAAATCTTCAGATTTGGATTCAGCCGAATTGAATCAGGGACAGAGATCCGAATCAACAAATCAAATCACTGTCCCCGACTCGGGCCAAATCCGAATTGAATACGGCCCGTTTCACACACCCCTAACTGATAGTATAGTCTGAACAAATGTGAACCTTTTATTGAAAGCAGTTGAATCTAGATAGAGGAACCCTTTTAGGGTTTTTTTCCCCCACCTCTCTAGAGGAAACTAAACAATCATTCTCTCCTTTCATCTCATGTGTGTTAATCTCTTGCCCTTGGGGTTTATTCTATCAGAAATCTATTTTGTTAAGATTAACAGCACATTTGCAGAGCTCCTGTGGGAATTGTGGGGGAGGGGATCACTAAATATTTCCTAGCATCCTGTAGATTTATAGTTTATAGTTTAGGCTTCATAGTGCCTGGAAACAGAAAACTTTTGGGTATTGCCATAGGATTACTGTTATGTTAAGACTAAACTGATTTCGCTTTAATACTTAGGATTTATACATCATTCCTTTTTTAAATTCTTGTCCATTTTTCTGTTTTACAGTTGTTTTTCTCTGTTTCTTATCCACAGATACATTTGTGTTCTCTGGCATCAAGTCTCTTCCTGATAACTTTGCAGCCATGAAAATACTAATTCTTTGCTTACTCCAAGGCCAAATTGAGAACTATACCACTTGCAGCAGCTGTATAGTTAAAATTTCTAGTTTCTGAATTAAATGACATTTAAGAAAAAGTTGTTTTTTAAGAAAGTGAGCTTTTGTACTCAAGAGTTGAATATGATGCTTATCAGGCTTTTAAATATGTCTTCCGTTATTTGTTCAGTTGCTTCTTTAGATTGGAAGTCTGTTTTTATTTGCTATTGCAATCTGTTTCCCCCCACCAATTCACACTTGCTTTAAAGTACAATTCTATGCAGTACAATTGATTTGGCATTCAGCAAATGTACATAACACATGTAATTTACATACAGAGCAGGTTGGAGCGAGGGTGGTATCCGGAAAACAACTAGAGCAAAGGTGTAAAATAAATCCTCTCCCTCCTACTTAAGCCCATACCATAGCCGAATTCATAGTCGTGATGTAAACCACTCCAATTGACTTCAAGGTTGAATTTTATTCCTTTTGTCCCTTTTGCAAGAATGCAAAAACTTAAACTAAATGCATTAATTTACCCATTGCCAAATTTGGACAAAGATACATGCATTGCCAGTTAGGATCAGCTCGCTGCCTGGTGCACAGAATTTACCCCACAATTTAAATCACTCTTGAATTTTTTGCTCAGCTCCTTAATCGAGGTTGAATTGCACCTCGTATAGAAATGATCAGCTAAAAACCTGTAGGAACAAGTGTAGTGAACAGATTGAATAGTTACATTGAGAATGCAAAGAAAGGTTGAACATGGTCTCAACTTTCATCATCAATTCTAATGGATTCATTTGTCCAATTATATTTTATACTATGTGATTGGTCTGTGTCACAGGGCACTTAGGTGCCTGCGCCTAGAAGAGCAGAAACTGCCTGGGGAGAGCCCAAAGAGCCAGACAGGAGCCCAGGTGCATGTTGTCATGGCAACCAGCTAATGAGGAAATTAGCTGGGAAGCAGGCCGGAAGGGGCAGGGCCCTGGGCCCATATAAACCCCAAGCTGGAACTAAGGAAGGCAGTTCTCTTCTGGCAGCCAAGGGGGAAGGAGCCCTCCTAGAGGAAGGGAAGAGGCCCAACTAAGTGCTGCTCCTGGTAATGTAAAGGGGGCAGAGCACACCTTATGCAGCTTGTGTTATGTTATAGCCCAGGGGCTTATGTTTGGTTGTTGTTTTATAACACTGGTGGTTTGGGTGAGGCTATTTGGGGAAGGAGGAGACCTCACTGGGGCTCTGCTATAGTGTGAGGACCCGGTGCCAGAGAAGGTGCAGTATTTGGGGGCGCACAGACCCCAGCGCCAGAGAGGGCGCAGAGATAGGGCTGCAGAGGGCCCAGTGAGGACAAGGGGCCAAGTTGTAGCAAGGCCTGAGGAAAAACAACAGCAATACCATCTGTGAGGCTTGGGGCATGGTAAAGGGGCAGTTTGGAGCCATGCATATAGCCCATAAGGCTGGGGACCCATGGGGTCCAGGGAAGTCCATCAGGACTGTGTCTGACCGGATGTGAAGGCAGCCTCCCTACATTACATTTTACATCAAGACGTGGTGGGCGAGAAAAGAGAGTGCCCATCAGGCCAAATTGGCATGGTCGGGGAGCCTTAGGAGATCATGGCCATCCTTAGGGACCCCATCCCGTGACAGTCTGCAATTGGCAGTGCCTGGATTTGCAGTACTTTACTGGCCAATTGTCTCTTCTGAAAAGGAAAAGCTGGGAAATATTGTAATAACTCTCATTACGAATTTGTTTTGTTTTTATTTTAGATGCTAATGGTACTTGTACAAAATCCCATGGCAAATAAGAGCAAAAGAAAAGAAAATAGCTTGTCTTGTCTTTTTGTTCCTAGACTAAACAATTCCTTTTGCAAATACAATATTTTCTTGCCTTACAACATACGCCTTTTTTCCAATAACCGGCTGCTGGAAACTAGATGGCACATTATATATAAGGAAATACAGTATTTGCAGTTTCTGCTGTTTTACTGGGCAAAAATGAAGGTGAAGTCTGCACGTGATCCACAGGGAACAGAACACTGAGAAGGCTTGGTTTCCAAGATGCTGCTACTTAGTTACTTAATACAAAGGAAGTTTTTTTTTGTGTTTTGTTTTTTTTTTTTTCCTTTCTTTTTTCTGCCTTTCAAAAACAAGACAGATAAGTGCATATCTTATTCTGGCAGGCAAAGTTCTTTGGGTAAATCTGCTATTTTTTGTTAGACCAACTCAAATAGTTGGAAAAATTCTTCTTTGCAAGCTTTCAGGTATAAATACCCTTTGTCAGGCTGATGAAGCATTTTACAATGCCAGTGTGCTTTCTGCTGCTGGGTGAGCAAAGGACGCGCAACATGACCAGCACTCCCTGTGTCCCCTGTCCGTCCACCTGGTAGCAATTGTGTCACACAGCTGAGCTCCTGGGTAAAAGACAGCAGGTTGTAGAGCCCCGAGCCCACAGCAAACAGCCCACCTCTGCCTTGTGGGGGGTATGTGCCCCCCATGCCTCTGCTGCGGGGTGGGGTGTTGCTGTGGGGAGCCGTGCCTCCCTCCACACCTCTGGACAACCTGCCTCAGCCCCGGAGCACCATTCACCTCAGCCCCTGCTCCTGCCTCACTCCCTCCCTCACCGTAGGGGCCTTGATCTACCTCCCCTCCTCTCTTCTCCTGCCCCTTCCTCTCCACTTTCCAGCTGGGTGCTGTCTGTGTCTGTAGGTGTGTCTGTTGTTTACTCCCAAGCCACAGTCCCCCCAGCCCTCCTGCTGCCTCTCACTCCTGACCAACAGTACCCCACATCCTGCCAGGGTGTGCAGGGACCCTCCCTCCATGGGCTCCAAACCTCCCATACACACCCACAGCCCTCCATACCATCATAAATAACACCCCCCCACACACACACACTTTAAAAAAGGCATCTCATGGTTTACATGCCAGTCTCCAATTTCTTGACAACTTCCTTTTAACAAGACCATTAGCTTGTTTTTAATCCAATTAACATATGCTTTACTGATATTATGTAGTACTATTTTTAATAGACTATCATGTAGCACTAAGTCAAACATCATGCAGTGAAAAGATCAATGTATTTGTATAATCACCTTTATAAACAAAACTTCTCATCTTGAAATTGTTAGCATTAAGTATATTCCTATTCTTTAATTATTTATCATTTCAGTCTTGCATAAACTGTTCCATTACCTTGCCTGGCACCGATGACATCCTAAATGGCCTAAAGGACAGGGCATCCCACTGGCCCATTTTGAACACTGGTACAGTATTAGCATACTGATAGAATATCTGCCTTTTTTGCATATTTGTTAACAATTTTACCACCTTTGGTTGTTAGTGGGCCTACGTTATTGGCAGTGTTTCTTTTTTTCCTAATATATTTTTTTTAAAGTCCCTTGTTGCCCTTATGTCTACTAGTCATTGAATATTCTGTAAAATCTTTAACTTCTCGCATACATTTCTCTACTTTACAACTTTGCATTTCTATATCTATAGATAAATGATTACCATTGATTTTTTTCCCCCCTATTTTCTTTTGTTTTATATTTTATCTTTTATTTCTGATGCCTTGACTTTAAAACTGTTCTCCTTGATTGTGCAATCTACTCAAAGAGGTCCCAATCTTTATTCACATTTTAAAGTCTTTTTTCTCTCTCAATCATTTCTTCCCCATTGCACAGTCTCCTTTCATTCTCCTTCCCATTGTCAGATCACAAATAAATATGAATATTTTATGGTTGGATGTCAAACTCATCCAGCCCTGTGGATGAATTTGGGCCTACAGACCAACCCCCAGGCACCTAAACTAGCATATAAGGCTGGTCCAGGGCAGGAACCTCATGCAGGGCATGCCTTGGACCAGCCCTGGCCCAAGTCCAGGGCTTGTGTGGTAAGGTGACACAGGGTGTATGTTGTGTGGGGTCCTGTACCAGACCGGCCATGCATACTGGCTCTGTGGCCTGTTTGGTAGGAGCCTCATGCAGTGTGTGCCCTATACTAGTCCCCTGCGCCATGTGCATTGTGCATGCCGGGTGTAGCCTCATGTGCAGCATGCAGTGCATATTGGCCAGGTCCTGGGCTTGTGCTGCATGTGATGTGTGAGGCTGACATGGGACACATACAGCATACAGTACCTGTACCAGATCAGCCCAATCCAGACCATCCCTGGAGCCAGCACAGAGGACTGGTCAGGCATGTGCACCACAATAGGCGCCCTGGACTGCCCCCTGCGCTATGCGCAGCACCCACAGCCCTAGGTCCAGCTCTATGCATTACATGCAGCGAGTGCCAGGATCCATGGGTCAGATTGTAGAGCTCCATGGGACAGATAGGGTTCATATCTTCAACACGCCCTGTTTTATAGTGAAGAAATATATATATATACACACACTAAACTGTGGCAATGTCAAATTCTGATTAAAACACCATTCAGTTTTGCCATGCTAAAATGGTTTTATGCATCATAGGACAAGTTCATCATTTGTTTATTTCATTATTGGGAGGCAAAGTATAAGCCCCTAAATTGAATAGACAGCCTGTCTGATTTATCTGCAATCAGCTACATAAATAAATGATCCCTTTGGCATCATTCAGGAATTATATATTTCTTTTAATTAGGGAAATACTTCATCCATTTGTCTAGCCAGATTTTGGCTCCCTGTAACACTGGTATCGTATAAGAGTACAGAAATGTTATTTTCTCTTATGGGAACTTTATTATGCTCTTGCTGAAATCATTAACTTAGATGACACCAGCATTTGTTCTTATAAATCCTGCAGTTGCCCCTTCATCTAGTCAGCGTTAAGTGTTTGGACATTATTGCAGTCCAAGTAGGTAGACATAAGAATCTAGTTTTTCTCCAGGCTTAGGGATACTTGGATTAGAAATGTTGACTCGGACCATGATTAAAAAAGAAGTAAAGCATCAATAAAGTTTGGATATGAAATTCACTGAATTTTGGCAGTATTCAATTTGAAATGTTATTTCTGGCTCAAATGAATTTGACATTCTTGAATATTGCATATTACTCAGTATAGGTAAATTCTCTTGAATGAATGAAATAATTTGTGGCTTGACCAGGGCATACATATTAAGTGTCATGTCCTCTGTCTAATGGTCCATTTCATGCAGATGTACCCAATCAACCTTTTGAACTACAAAGTCCACAGAAACTTTTCTTCTGTAAATGGATATATAAAAGTGTATTGATATTAAAATAAAATACATGTAATTATTATTTGCACACAGTGACCTCTAGTGGGAATACTTGCAATATTTAAGGAAAAAATAATACTCAAGTGTTCAAGTCATTTCAGTCAGAAACAAAGCCTGAGAAGAAACACTGATACATTTTGGAAGAGAGAGCATTCTATTTCTAGATATACATATCAGTTTAAGAAAAACATATGCCATGGGTCTGAATGCGTCGCCAGCCATTTTTTTTAATGGCTAACTCTAACTGGGTACGTCTACGTCTACTAACTTGAACTAGAAGCAACTAATTCTACTGTGCGTTAGCATGCTTTTTGCTGGCCGTGTGAATGCACAGTAGAATTAGTCTACTGAGCCTTTAGTGTCTCGTGTAGATATACCCACTGTTGCTTAAAAACAAAACAAACACCCTCCCCAGAAAAAGCCAAAAACCCCAAATGCCTAAGCCAATAAAAATGAAATAGAATGGAAAAATCTACAATATTTAGTTTAGCTTTTAATTAATGCATCAGTCAGATTTTATTGTGATGGGAATTTCTAACAACCTCCAATAGCATCAGGATGCAATAAGTTGGTCCTACATGGTGCCCTGGCATAGCTCTCTCCACCAAGCTTCTGAGCTACTGTTGTGAGAATTCTACAATAAAAAACTTCCCACAAGGATTGCTTTAAAATGCAGAGATTCATTAAAAAAATCATTTTAAAATGACTAACCTTCACATAATACTCTAAAACATTCTAACATGCTCAATTTGAGCCCAAACTGATCTATATAAAAATCTTTTTTCTTACCTCTCAGAGTGAAGCACTTTTCAGCTGAGGCACCTGTGTATCACTCTCTACAGCTGCATGACAAAGGCACCAGATGGAGCAGATCATTATGAGGGAGGAAATAAAAGGCCACAACTGAGGTTTGGATTTGGAGTTGAAATTTCCCAAAGGCTGGCAGTGTTACAGCTGGGGCCTGGCTCCGGTTGAAATGAATTCAATATCTTTGAATATTGACAGTTACATGGTATAAACTATACTTATTTTAAAATAATATGCAACTCAGTGCAACATATTAAAAAGCAGCACTTCTTCTGTTAAATGGTCCATTTCATACTGATGGGCCCCATGAATTGCAAGCTATTCTGGAGATTTTGTTCTCCAAACTGCTTCCTTTTCCCAAAATGTCAAACACATGCACATTGCCTTTTCTAGTTCCAAACTAGGAATCCTATCCCTTCATTTCTCTCTCTTCCAAAGGTAAGGTAAAATTCCAGTGTGAAAAGTCTAATTATGCCTCTGTTTTGAAAATCTTTAACATAAGGATACTGTAAGAGATTTTTCATAAGTTACAATTAAAGTTTGGGGGGAGGGGTGTTTTTTACAATGCGCAATGGCCATATTGTAAAATAAGTTTCTGACAGGAATGTGCTCTGTTGCGCGCAGCCGGTGGGGAGGAGGGGAACATGTTCAGTCAAGTTCCTCTCTCATTCAGCTGCTCACCCCTTTAACTCGAAAGGGTTTGGGTTTTTTTGCTTGTATAATGGAAATCTTAAAAACATTGTATTAGTGACAAATAATTCAAATTGAAACTAGGTTGTGCTACCTCTCTCCAAACCTCACTACTTCTAGCCCAACTAGTTGACCATTCTTATTTCTAAACATTTTTTGAATACTCACAATTGATTGAAAGAGTAGGTGGTGGAGTATTGTTACTGACATCACAAAGATGTGTGACAACCATGGTTTGTAACGATCACAACAGTTCCCCAAATTTTTCTTCTGTAATAACACAAAATTATATTGTAAAAACAAAAAGATGCTTTGAAATATGCAGACTTATTCTCCTGTTCACTGTTCATTCGCTATCCATTCTAGAGAAGGGTATTTCTTTAAACTGTTTTGCAGCTAACAATGCTTTATATTCGTATTCAGATTTGGTTCCTACATTTTGGGACTGAGAACTCCAACACTGGCAACAGGCTGCAAAATTAATCAAACTACATCCTGATGCAGGGACTGGAAACAAGATCCCCCCTGACAGAATTATATCGGATCAAGTGCATTGTCACCTTATCATATGACTAAGTGCTATGGGGCTGACTATATTTTGCACTCAATGACCTCTTCAAACCATTCTCTTACAATTAGGGTAAAATTTACAAGGCTTCCACCAGGTGGCATCGCTACACTTCATATTTCTGAACAACAGCTTTGTCTATATTTAAACAGTGGCGAGTCAAAAGGAACATTATTTGCCAAATGAAAGAGACCCAAATTGACAGGATGTGTGAAAAGTTTAAAATAATTTGGAAAAGTAGTTTCTCTGAACTCTTATTCTAATAATATTGCAGAGATCTTCAGCCACCTCAGATCCAACTCCATTAATAGCAGACTCCCACCATTATCTCAGAGGAACCTTTGATACAACTTTCCTCCAACTGATTTTTACTCATATGGATTCTGTTCTACCCATGCTATTCTTTCATGGTTTCTTTTGCATTCCAGTGCATCCTTAGCATATAAAACTATCCCACCACTTTTGCCTTGTTTTCGTATTCTGTCAATGAACATAGACGTTCCAAACTTGTCTGCTACTCCATCTTATCTTACTCTTGTAATGACCCATTGCACTTGCATACAAGCATGTGAGCTTTTCTTTAGTTTCTGAGGTAAAGAATGTTTCAAGATCACTTTAAGTAATAAATGAGGACCCAATGAGTTTGTCAGCACTTTTTAAATGATCTTTACTAACCCAGCTAAAGTATACTTTACAACGAGATAGTTTACTTTGCTTGTAGTATTAATCACATACTTTATAAGTAGCTTGAAAGGATAATGCAAAAATAACAGCAACGTTTTAAGCTATCAATTAACCTTAAACTTTTAGTGACAGAGAAGAAAGTTATTTTGAGTGAGTTTTCATGTTTTCTCTTACATAAACCTAGTGGACATCCTATAAAGGAAGTGTCTATTAAAATTATGAACTATGCAGATCACTTGAAGGAAAAATTAAAAAGAAAGACATAGAAAGTTCTGTGGGTTATTCATGAGAAAGCAGGAATATATCTTACTCCTGGCAGCTGTTTTATTTCCCTTTTTGTCTCTTCTCAGTGGCCAAAGAATATATGTTGCTAGAAGACCTCAATGCAAATTACAGATGCAGCTCAAAGAAACAGATGAAAAGGCTGGTCATTGCATACATAGATTGAAAATGCTGGCTGAGGTAATCTGATTTTTCATTAATATTTATTTTTATAAAGCATAAAGATACAGAACATCAAAAATTGCTTTTTTACTAGCTGGAGTGTCCTTGATTTCCTCTCCTTTCATTATTGGAGGTATTTTTATTTGTGACTATCAGCGGATGATTGCTGGTGGGCTAGCAGAGCAGAGGACCTGAGTTTTTTTTTTTTTTTTTCCTGACTTTCCCTCCCTTTGACTATTAGTGCTATCTCATAGATTCCATAGACATTAGGGCTGGAAGGGTCCTCGCAAGATCATCGGGTCCAGCCCCCTGCCCAAGGGGCAGGAAGTCAGCTGGGGTCAAATGATCAAAGCAAGATAGGCATCTAAGTGTTTCTTGAAAGTGTCCAGAATAGGTGCTTGCACCACCTCTGGAAGGAGTCTATTCCTGGCCCTGGAGGCTTGGACAGTAAAGAAGTTTTTCCTTATGTCCAACCTAAAATGGTCTTCCAGGAGTTTGTGACCATTGGACCTTGTCTTCCCCCAGTGAACAGACATTCTCCCAGTTCCTGATGCACACCACTTATGTACTTATAGGCTGCCACCAAGTCATCCCTGACTCTACGCTTTTCCAGGCTGAAGAATCTTATCACTTGCAGCCTCTCCTCATAAGGCCTGCTCTCTTGTCCTCTAATCATGTGTGTGGCTCTCCTCTGAACCTTCTCAAGCTTCTCCACATCCTTTCTGAATTGTGGTGCCCAGAATTGGATGCAGTACTCCTGCTGCAGTCTCACCAAGACTGAGTAAAGTGGGAGGATGACTTCCTGGGTCTTGCTTGAGATGCATTGGTAGATGCAAGCCAGAGTTTTGTTTGCTTTGCTGGCTGCTGCATCACATTGGTGGCTCATGTTCATCTTGTGGTCAATCATATAAAAACTTTTGGTGACTCCATGAAAGTGGTGGAGTGGGTAGGGAGCACGGTGCAGTGTGAAGTAGTACAACTGGATCCATAGAAGAAAAAAACAAAGATTCCATTTATTGCATAGTATACATAATCAGACACGGGGCATGATAATGGAAGAGAAGAGCCACTAGTGGCAAAAAGTAAGTCCCTGGGGTGGAAGCAGCTGTTTTGTCATCGAGGCTACATGGAACCATACAGGGATCCTTCTTCTCCCAGTGTTTCCAGAGGGGAGGGGGAATGAGCATGAGTTCCACTATAAAAACAGACCCAGAGCAGGCAGGAGGGGAACAACTAGAACCAGAAGTTCCTGAAGCCAGCCGAGAGAGAGAGAGAATGGCTGAGAGTACACAGGAGGCTGCAAAGAAGGCTCTTCAGAGGGACAGCTCTGGTGAGAGAATTGACAGTGAAGAAACCCATAGGAAGCAGCTCTCAGGTAACCCGAAACCTCAGCACAGCAGCCCATGAGAGAGGCTGTGGAAGGAGGTACCATAAAGACCTGAATTGCAGGTCTTAGAAGAAGGTACCATAAATACTGGATTAGAAGGACAGGGATAAGTAAACTTTCATTTCTTATACCTGGGAAGAACACTCCCAGGTACAGAAAGATAGTGAAATGTAACTATCTGGACAATAAGCCAGAAGACTGGTTAAATACAAGTCAGTTCTTTTTTTTTTTTTTTAATATGGTAGAGTCCAACCAGGACCAAGGTATTGGCAACTGAGTGTTTTGAACCAGAGACAAAAGGAGTATCCTGACATCCCCTGGCAGATGATGTGGGCTACAAGTTAACACCCGGTGGAATGGGTGAGGGTATAAGGGTTGGTGGAGCCCTCACTATACTAAGGCAGCCACAAGGACCAAAGGTGAAAGAAGCCACATGCCCAGGTATTCTTTTTTTCTCCCTTAACAGCAAGTCATGGCAGGTGAGATTGTGGGTGTGCAGAACATTACATCAAGACATCTGGTCTTCAGCTGGCTGGCTGAAGAGATATGACTGCCTTAGTACAAAAAAAAAAAGGAGAGCCTTTTGGAGAAGGTAATAAACAATAGAGACTAATTGGGTACTTGATTTGAGATGAGTGAGGCAAGCAGTTAGCCCAGGAATGGGTGGGTGAGCCAATGTTGGACCAGGCTGAAGAAAGCACCGTGTTACAGATAATTACAGAATGTATTTATTTATTCTTTTATCTGTACAATAAATCTATTTAATATTTACATAACTGTGAGTGGGACATTTTATTACATAAAAATACACAGTAATTTTTAAAAATTTAATAAATAAAATATATGCAAACTTTTTTTTTTTAGAAGTTGGGGATGGGTTAAAGCTGGAACATTATCTGAAGATGCCTTCACTTTATTTAATGGGCCATTGTTTCAGAAGTGGGCATTCTACAAAATACACCAGAAAGACATAGCCCTTAAACAAAGAATTTACAACTGAAAAATATGGAAATCACATGAAATACAACATATAAACAAAAACCAGAAATACAATAAATGTATGCTGTACATCAAAACTTTAATTTTTTTTTTTAACTTTGTGTAAGAAATATGTTTGGTTCTCAGTAGATAGGTTTGATGTGGAAGACTGAGCATCAGCTGCATTAGTAATAAAGGAATTTAGTAGTCCCAGGAGACTGTTCAATACAGTTTAATGTGGAGGAAAATAGTAATGCTAACTCTCAGAAATATGTGCTCTAAGTAGATTTCTTTACTTCAATCATATTTAGTCCAGATTCTGAAGGGAAAAAGAAGCATTTCCAGAACCACAGGAATCTTCTCCATTAGAATGGCTTACCTTAGCTCCCATATTTTCTGCTCAAAAACCCACAAATTTGTTCAGTGCCTATCTAGCACCTGCACCTCCAGAAATGGAATACATCTCATCCAATGCCCCACATCCCCTGATGGAAAATATGTAGGAGAAACCAAACAACAACTGTGCCCCAGAATGAATGCACACCAAAAATCTATCAAAGACAAGAATGCCCAATTACCTGTGGGGGCACATTTCTCACACAAAAAAACCCCAACCCCACTCTCTCTCCAATCTCTCAAATCTAACCCTCAAAAGGAATTTACAAAATACTTTTCACAGACAAGCCTATGAATTTAATTTCATGAATCTACTGGATACAAAAAATCATGGACTAAATATAGACATTAGATTTATGACACATTATAACCTACCTGACATCTGACTCACCAGGTAAACCCTCCACTTTTTACCAGCTATTGTCATTCGCTTCCCACCCCCCTCCCGCCCCATCCTCCTGTCTCTCATCCTTTTGACTACAGCTACATTCATTCCCCCAAACCCCCTGACCCAACCTGTCTCTCACCTACTGACCACCTCAATTTACATTTTAACTGACTGGCTTTCTTGCATATGTACTGACCTCTGGCTGCTTTACCACTCCATCCAGGAAAAACACAGACCATCTGCAGATGCTTCCTCAGCCTGACGAAGGGCGTTTGTGTCAGGAAGCTGGCTAAGGAGAATGTTTTTCAGCTATTTGGGTTGTTCTAATAAAAGACATTGTATTTACCCTAAGAACCTTGTCTGTCTGTGTTGCTGCTAGTACATCATTAAGAACCCATTTCTCCTTTAGAGCTAGGCTGAAAGCAAATAATAAAATGTACATGACATAAAATGATCTTGTGGGTTTTCAATGAGCAGGAAGTGTACCCTTAGTTTTTCAACGTTTAGTAAATTCCATAGGTCTTGTGAAAGCAGAACTCTGTCCTCTCTGTCTAACAAAAGATGCATAGGAAAGAAGCTTCACAGATTCTTCCTTTTAATATAACGTGGAAAAAAACTAGACTTGCTCAGAAAATGAATACTGTATATTTTGAGTCTTCCACCTGTCAAGATCTCTGATCAAATAAGTCTCCCAATTTATTTCCCAGCTTTTGTAAGACTCCAAATGATCATAAGATCATACTCATTATCTCTTCTAATGTAGCTACTTTTTTCCTTCCAATTCTAGAGCAGAAGAGATTAATTTACAACATTAGCTGAAATGGGATATCATTTTATGCTTCAGGGTTAAGGAAATGTTAAGTGATTATTATATATTACTTTCAATATACAAGATTACAGAATACAACCGCTAGTTTTAGATGACTGAATTTACCACATTACTGTTGCACACCAAAACAATTGAAGTAGTAACTTGTTTAATGCCAGTTTACTCTTATTGTGTTTCTCATGGCATGCCTGATGAAAACCTTTGAACAAAACTTTTCCTAAGAAAGTAAAGATTGGATAAAATAAACTTGAAGAGGAGCTGTTACTATTTTAACCTTTTAAATGTCCCTTCAGGAAAAAAAATCCAGTTATGGTTACTTTCAGAGCATTCTGCATTGAAGGATATTTTAATTTATTTCTATTTTTTTTACATACTTGAGATAGTATTCAGATAAATGTAAGTGAAGCATTTATTTGAATGTAATTATACTTTAATACAGTTATCTGAATTTCAGACAGTAATCAAAGCATTCAGCTCATCCATGTGAACACTGAATGTTCAGAACATTTGTGTAAACAGGTCTCTGACAATTTTTTTTTAAACTTCAAATGAAGCATCCTGTTTTCTAACGTGAATTGTTTAAAAATAGGAATATTCCAAACTAAGGTTTCTGTTACAGTCTTATCTCTGTGATCCCGCACACAAATCTGGAAGGGATATAAAGTGTAAACTAAATGCAAATAATCTCACTGATTTAAATGGGAAATCACATACATAATTAGGAATGTAAATAATTAATTTACTGGAGCAGGTTTCACAGATGTATTAAAAGACATTATGACATATGTAGTATTTTGTATATCTAATTGTATATACTCAAAGGAATTTCTGAACATTAAGACTGTTGGGGGAACATTAGTTAATATTTTAATAATATAGAAAGAATATTTAAACTGCAATGCTGCAGTGGCTTTTTTCTTGTATTTAATATGTAGATATTTTCCCTCATTTTTCTAAATATCATATTTGAATGGAATAGCAAATCAACTGTCCACACAATCAGGAAAATATATTCAGATAATTCATGAGTCAAA